AGAGAGAGAGAGAGAGAGAGAGAGAGAGAGAGAGAGAGAGAGAGTTTTGTGAGAGGGGAGATAAATGCTTGCACATCATGACATTCATGTAAAGGTCAGAAGTAAGCTTTGTAGAGTCAGTTCTCTCCTTCCACCTTTATATAAATTCCAGGGATCAAACTAAGGTTGTCAGGCTTGCTCTGCAAGCAGTTTTACCTGCTGAGCCATCTCACCAGCCTCTTAATACTTAAATTTTAAAAATAACTTTTTAAGAAATAATTGATTTATAGGTTATATGTAAGAAAACCTCTTTTAACAGTGAAGTTTCATATTCTATGGGAGGAGGGAATACAGTGTTCTTTTTTAAGGAAAATTTTTCAAATCTAATTTTAATTATCTTTACCAGATGTGGGTGGGTTTTTTGTTTGCTTGCTTTGTTTTTGTTTTTATCTTTTTGACACAGGGTCTCACTGTGTAGCCCAAGCTGGCCTTAAAGTATAAACCTTCCTGGATCAGCCTCTCCAGTCCTGAGATTATAGCTTGTGCCCCTATGCTTGTTTTGTTTTGCTTTGCTTTGTTTTTGTGTGTATTTGTTTGCTGTTTGAGATACCATGTTGCTGTGTAAGACTTGGCTCGCCTAGGACTCACTATGTGTCTCTGACTGGTCTTGAACTTATAGGCAGTCCTTCTGCCTCTAACTGCTGGGATAACAGATGTACACCACAACACTCAGTGTTTTATTTATTCTTAAATTTATTTGTGTGTGTGTGTGAGAAAGAGAGAGATATGTCTGTAGGGGAGTGCTTATTATACATGTGGAAGTCAGAGGATAACTGTGGAGCCAGTTCTTTCCTTCTACCTTTACTTGCATTCCAGGGACAGAACTCGGGTCTTCAGGCTTGCTAGGCAAACCCTTTACCCGCTGAGCTGTTTTACCAGTCCAATATTTTATTAATACTAGGAAATCCCCTTTATCATCTATCTTACAGTAATAATTTTAAACATAATTTTTATTTGGCCTTTTTCAGGTACAATATTTAGATCATGGGTTCACTGAGAAGATTCCACAGTGTCATCTTTACCCTATTTTACTATATCCTGATACACCCCAGTTTTGTATTCCTTGTCAGCTCCATCAAACTGTACCAGTGAGTACATAATACTTTGTGGGATGGCTAATCTTAAATATTGTCTTATTTTTATTTTATGTGTATGAGTGTTTTGTCTACATGTATGTAGGTGCACCCATGTCATGCAGTGCCCCAGGAAGACAGAAGAGAGTGTCAGGTCTCCTAGAACTGGAGTTAAGAACAGTTGTTAGCTGCCATGTGGGTGTTGAGAACTGAATCTGGGTCCTCTGCAAGAGCAGCCAGTGCTCTTAACCACTAAGCCATCTCTCCAGCTCCTAAATACAATTTACTTATTGTCTTATGTGTATGAGTGTATTGCCTGCACGAATGCGAGTGCACCTATGTTGTGTAGTGCTGCAGCGGTCAGAAGAGGGCTTCAGATTCCCCTGGAACTGGAGTTAAGGATGGTTCATAACCACCATGTGGGTTCTGGGAATCGAACCCGGGTCCTCTGCGAGAGCAGTCTGTGCTCTTAACTGCTGAGCCATCTCTCCACCCCCTATTTATTATTTTTTTTATGTGTATACTTGTGTTTTTTAAAGCTAATTTTTGTTGTATGACTGTGATACTCTCGTGTATATTGGTACTACTGTTGGGCATTCTGCACTTTATGGTCACTGCTCTGTGCCTTAATTTACTCTTTCTCTCACATTATGAAAGTGTGAAGGAGTCTAAGTGTATTCATCCCACACAGGTTGGGAATGTCTGGCAGCCAGATGCCGTAGAACTACTTCAGGAGCTGCTTTCAAAGAGAGAGGTGGACATTCACACTATGGTAATTTGTCTTTAAAACATAGTTGATTCAGACTATTGTGAACTGTTTAATCAACAGAATGTGGGAGATGTTTTTATGACAAGCCATGTTACATGTTCACATGTAACTATAAATTACTTGTTAACATACAAGAAATTACTACTTTGATTCTGTTTGTTTTAAATAAGCCTAATTTTGAACAAGTTCCTGAGAAGTTTCATAAGCATTAAAGTAGGTGATGGAGAGATTTGTGACTAATGGTTCCTTTATTTGAATTTGTGTCAGGATCACCTTGTCACGATGTTTATAAATAAATGACACAGTGTCCAAGGGTCTTCTGTCATACAGCACTGAGTAAAGTACAGACAGTCCAAGCAGATCCCTGTCCGCAGACACCTTCTCCAATTAGTGAAGCCAGACATGAGCCTTAATCCACAGTGCAGAGCAACTTGAGCCAAGAGACTGGTTAAAAAAAAGATGAGCACAGCAGGATTTAGAGAGGGGAGAATTGAAGGTGGCAGAGTCCTGACAAGGAAATGGAACTCACAAAGGTGTGCTGAGACACCTTAGGAGGTAGTCTGATAGAAGGGCATAGGTTTCTAGAAGGGGTGACTAGGATGTAGAAGTGGCCCTGTAGAGGTTTCTGAACAATGAAATAAGGTTAATCTGCAGCCATTTGAGGACTGGAGTGGGCAAATATTTTCTGTATTTGAGAGCCACCCTGGGTCCACTTAAAGAAGGAAGCAGGTTAGGTTAGTACTAAGAGTTCCTACCTGGTTGCTCAGAGATTTCCTTGACAAATCACCAAAGTAAGGTAGAAATCAAATTTTTACACCACTTGGTTTTGCAGACCATGAAGGCTCTGTGCCACTTAGCACCCTGAGCTCCATGTCTTGCCCAGGCATGCACTTTCTAGCCTTAGATACACTGAGAAATACTGCTGAGGCCTGGACAAAGCAGTCAGAAAAGCCCACCTTTGGACCTTCTATTCTGTGGACAGATTAAAACATAATTAACCCTACAGTGTATTAGGAAGTTAAGTGCTTGGAAGCAGAGAACACTGATATTAAAGAATGCATCTGGGAAAGAATCTCCAAGTGGTCAGGTGACATTTCAATAAAAAATGACACCAGTAAACAAAACAGACTGCTTCTCCCAGTATCTATCACTTGCTAATAGGTCCACAGCTAGGGCTGGTGAATCAATTCTTTTTTTAAAAAATTCTTTAAAGTGCGGCCGGACAGGCTGTTACTAGGAGAAAGTGCCAAGGGCTCCATGTAGAAGCAGCTGTGTTTAGAATGGCAGAGTTGCCATAGTGAGGGCCTCACCTTTGCTACCACACTATTATTTCTTTCTAGCTTCTTCTTTAGATGACTAGTTAGTAGGAAACACAAGCAAGTAGATTTCAAAAACTATCCCCTTCCTCTTTAAGGACTTCAATTTAGACAAAGGTGGGAATAGTGCAAATGGAGAGAAACGTCCCTGTGATCAGTTTTCCAGTTATGGACATAGTGCATTATAATTATAAATGGACTTTATAGTCAAAGTTTTAAAGCCATTTTTATGATTCCTGGTTCGAGAATGTTTTCTTCTAGCAAGTAGATTTCAAAAACTATCCCCTTCCTCTTTAAGGACTTCAATTTAGACAAAGGTGGGAATAGTGCAAATGGAGAGAAACGTCCCTGTGATCAGTTTTCCAGTTATGGACATAGTGCATTATAATTATAAATGGACTTTATAGTCAAAGTTTTAAAGCCATTTTTATGATTCCTGGTTCGAGAATGTTTTCTTCTGACTCCTGCCATTTTAGAGATTTGTTGAAATTC